GAGGGCAATGAGGGAATGGTGAGGGCACTGGGGAATGGTGAGGGCACTGGGGGAATGGTGAGGGCACTGGGGGAATGGTGAGGGCAAGGAGAGAATGGTGAGGGCACTGGGGAATGGTGAGGGCACTGGGGGCTTGGTGAGAGCACTGGGGGAGTGGTGAGGGCACTGGGGGCTGTGGGCAGCACTGAGGTGGGCACAGAGACGAGCGTGGCCACTGAGATCTCCAGCCTGTTCCCATGTGTGTGCTGGAAACAGCTGGAGATGGGTTTTGCACTTGTGTTTGGGACAAGCGATGTCCGAGCGTGATGCGACCCTGCAGAAACGAGGGGTGTAGGAGCACGGTGGTCCCCAGGGGCGTCCCAGGCTGCTCACAAGGCCCCAAATTCCCCCTTTTTCCAGACGGTCTTCTCAGAGATGCGCCAGGAGTGCAAGTGCCACGGCATGTCAGGCTCCTGCACCGTGCGCACCTGCTGGATGCGGCTGCCCACCTTCCGTGCCGTGGGCGACGTCCTGAAGGATCGCTTTGACGGCGCTTCCCGCGTCATCTACGGCAACAAGGGCAGCAACCGGGCATCGAGGGTGGAGCTGCATCACTTGGAGCCTGAGAACCCGGCCCACAAGCCTCCTTCGCCCCACGATCTCGTCTACTTCGAAAAATCCCCCAATTTCTGCACCTACAGCGGGAAGATGGGCACAGCAGGCACGGCCGGGAGGTTCTGCAACAGCTCCTCACCGGGGCTGGACGGGTGTGAGCTGCTGTGCTGCGGGCGTGGGTACCGCACGCGCACCCAGCGCGTCACCGAGCGCTGCAACTGCACCTTCCACTGGTGCTGCCATGTCAGCTGCCTCAACTGCACCAACACCCAGGTGCTGCACGAGTGCCTGTGACCCGCGCCGGGACCACCCTGCCCAGCCCCGGAGGGGGTCTGCGCCACCCACCCCCCATGACGGGTGCCCGGCTGGATTGAAGGCACCCATGGGTGGGGGTATGGATGTGTCCTAGGGACCCCCATCCTGCCACGGGTGGGCTCAGTGCCACGCACCTTCCCGGCCACCCCCCGGCTCCACGGGGTCCCTTCTTGCTGTAAATAAAATATTTATTGTGGACGGTTTGGTGCCGCCGCCCCCACCCTGCTTCGTTGGCCCCAGGCCCTGTTTTTATAATTAAAGATAATAATTAATAATAATTAATAATAATGATGCTTTGTTACAGGTGTCATTGATAGCCTTTAGAGAAGAATAAAAAATATATTTTTATCAGTCCTGCCCCGATTTGTGTCTGGGGGGGCTGGGGGAAAGGGGATGAGCTGTGGGGGGACACCAATTTATCCCAAACTTTGGGATGTGCTGCCCATGTCCATCTGTCCGTCCGTCACTTCTCCATCCCCTCACCACCCCATTCCACGTCCATCAGCCCCTCCGGCTGCTGTCTGTCCATCTTCTTCCTCCTTCCTTCCACTCTCTGCCATCCCCTCCCCGCAGACCCCCTTCTTTCTCCCGCTGTGCCCGTCTCCATCCCAGCCATTGCTGCCGCCGCTCCCGGCCGGGATGTCCGTCCCCACGGCTGCGGCGCCCATCACCATGGCACCTTGACTGCAGCATCTCCGATGCTGGAATTTGCCGGGGCGGTGGGGCTGGTGCCGCCGAGGCCGGGCGTTGGGAGCGGCCCCGGGAGGTACAAGACGACAGACAGGGAATGAGCATCGTTCATCACCGCTCCCGGCCGGGGCTGACGGCTCCCCTTGGCTCCGGGGGAAAAGCAGGGCCGGGGAGGGCACCGGGGTTACCGGGGCAGGGGCCAGAGGGGACAGAGCCGGCCACTGGCCCCACAAACAGCCCCACATCCATGCGTGGGGTCTGACCACAACAAGAGAAAGGCTGTGGCAAAGGTGGGGTGCAGCTCCGTGCTTGGCAGGTGTTCTGCTGGCGGGGCTATCCTCCCGGGATGGGCATCTCTCCGGGACGGGCTTCCCTCCGGACTGGCATCCTTCTGGCAAGGGAATCCCATCAGAACGGGCATCCTCCTGGGACAGTCCTCCCACTGGAGCGGGCACCCCACCAGGATGGGAATGCAGCAGGCAGGACATGCCCTGAGATGGGTTTTGCCCTGGGATAAGCATCCCCAAGGGGTGGGCAGATCCCCAGAATGGGCATCCTTGGGAAGGGGATGTTCTGGGACAGGCATCCCACGGGGGTGGGTTTCCCACCGAGATGGGCATCCCCCTGTGACGGGCATCCCTGGGGTGGGCACAGGGTCCACACATCCCCCCTGCACCTTGACTTCACACCTGGGGACATCAAAAACTCCCTCTCTGTGTTTGGGGGACCCCCAGACTGGTGCCCACCTGTCCCGGGGGTCCCCCCCCAGCCTGGGCTCCCCCCCGGAGCCGGGAACCTCTCGGGGCCCCTGAGGCTCTGCCGCATCAAAGGCTGCGGGATGACGCTGCCACCACCCGAAATATCCCGCGGAGCCGATAGTGGAAAAGTTGATGTTTAGACTCAGAGGAGGGGGGGAAAAACACCCTGGGGGCCCCCGCTGCCCGCGCCAAGGTCAAAACACAGCCCAGCGTGGAGAATAAAATACCAAAATGCAAGGAAAACGCCTGGAAAGGAACACAGCCCGAAATAACCCTCCGAGCATCTCCCGCCTGCCGGGTTATCTGTCTGCTAAATTCTGCTCCTGCTTCAGCATGAAAATAGCCTGTTTTCCTGCGGTAGGAGTCAGGAATATAGATAATGACATTCTTATAAGTCACCTCTGTTACTCAGCTTTTCCTGCGTGTCCTGCTGGGCACCTCGGGCAGCCGCGACCCCCGGGTGGGCAGGGGCACCCTGGGCACGGGGCACAGACCTCCCCGGCTTGGACAAATATTTCTGGGTGCTGGAAATAGCTGCTGTGGGCCAGCGCAGGGACAGGGCCGGCAAGAGAGACAGGAAGAGGGACAGGGAGAGGGCGGTCCCATCCTGCACCAGCCTGTCACATCTGGGAAGCCGGGTAACAGCTGGATGGTGGCCACAAGCCGGGCTGGGACAGCCCCGCTCAGGGATGGGGTGCGGGGGGGCTCTGCCTGCGGCTGTGGGACAGAGTGGATGACACACAGAAGTGCAGGACAGACGGACAGGGGTGCTTCCAGAACAGGGGAAAGGTGTCATTCCCAGAAATGTGGAACACCGGGACAGGACAGTACCGAGAGGTGTGGGACAGAAGGACAGGACAGTGTCCAGTGGTGCAGGACAGAGGGGTGGTGACATTCCCCGAAGGACAGGACAGTGACCAAAGTTTCTGGACAGAGGGACAGGGTGACACAGGGAGATGCAGGACAGAGCTATGCCCAGAGGTGCAGGACAGAGGGATGGTGTCATTCCCAGAATCCAGACAGAGGGACAGGACAGTACCCAGAGGTGCGGGACAGAGGGATTTTGTCATTCCCAGAGGTGCAGGACAGGACAGGACAGTGCCCAAAAGTGCGGGGCAGGAGGACTGTGCCATTCCCAGAAACGCAGGACAGAAGGACAGGACAGCACCCAGAGCTGCAGGACAGACAGACGGAGCTGTGCCCACCTACCCAGACCCTCAGGTGGCCCCATTTCACCTGCGGGACCGTCCCCATCCCACCCCCCGTCACCATCGCCAGCGGCACAGCCCCGTCCCGGCTCCCCTCGCCTCCGGTCGATGCGGACCCACGTCCCGCCAGCTCCCGGCTTGTCC